GCAGAAGGGGAAGGTCAAAGGTCTAGGTGCAGAGGGCAGAGGTCAGGGACCCAGGCGCAGAGGGCAGGGGTCCAGGTGCAGAAGGGGAAGGTCAAGGGTCCAGGCGCAGAGGGCAGAGGGCAGGGGCCCAGGCGCAGAGGGCAGAGGGCAGGGGCCCAGGCGCAGAGGGCAGAGGGCAGGGGCCCAGGCGCAGAGGGGAGGCATGCACCTGAATCTCCCTTCGCTGACCACCGCTCACACTTGGTCTGCAGTGTATGATTCACCATCGGATAACGCAAAGCCTTGAATCGAGCTCTGATGGTTGCAGTTGTAGGTGTCAGGTCCCTGGTTGGATGGAGCACCTCAGGGAGGGCTGAGCACAAGCCTCTCCTGCACCCCCCGAGACCAGGGTGGGCCCTGGGTAATACTTGGGTTTAGATGACTTGCTCTTGGATGGTTAGTGACCTACACCACCTGGGTGGAATGCAGGGTGCCTCACTGTATATTAGACACTTTAGGGCCCAGAGTGGCTCCCTTCATTGACCTGGGTGAGAGCACAGGTATGAACAGGTTTTCACAGCTCCCCAGGTGACTCTAATGCACAGCTAGGCCTGAGAATTGCTGGCAGGTGGGAGGAACACACGTTTTGGAAGCAGACCTGGTCCTGACACCTACACCCTGAGAGTCCCTAGGCCATAACACCAATTTACTTCATTTTGTTAGTTTCCTCCTCTCTTGTTTGGGGCGGGTGACCCCACGTGCAGTGAGCACTCACCTTGGTACCCTTTCCCCATTCCCACTGCAGCACACATACACACCAACTAGACTCCATGCTCAAGGCAGGGCTAGGGCTAGGGTGAGGAAGGCGTGGCCTCGAGGGTACCACATTTAAGGGGCACTCGCCCTGAGAGTCAGGCGTCCACACAGCGCTGAAAACACGCGCCTCCTGAAACTGTTTCCGCAGTGCCCCTTACCCCACTGTAGTCCCATGCTTGCGAAAAATGAGCACTGACCCCTTGCTGCTCAGGGGTCATGGACATGGTTTTACAAGTATGATGTAGTTTTCCTGATAAATTGCTCGGGAAGGGGAAACCGTGGATTTGACTTGGATCTGATCCAGACAATTGACTTAGTCACGTGCCAAACATTTCTGGAGTATTCCACAGCATCCTGGCAGATGCCACAGAAGTCTACAGCTGTCAGAGACCCTCAAGAAAAATCCAGCCCAAATGTCTCACTGTACAGATGAGAACTGAGGTCTGTATAAATGACCTGTCAAGGTCACACTGCGAGCTGGCTGCAAAGCCAGGGTCCCCCAGCCCCAATACTCGCCCCTATGTGGATCCCCGTAAAGGTGGCTTTCTCACAGGCTTGTGAGAAAACAGTGAGTCTACTTATTCACAGCGAGTTGCTGTGAGAGCTCATCCATAGTGCCTCCTGGTTCACGCGCCCATTCCTCCTTACCTGTGCCAACCCTCCGATCTCTTTGACGCAGACATAGAGCCGGAACAGGTCCAGGGGCCTCTTGCCCACCGCGGGCAGGCTCGCAACAGGGGAGCCCCTCTCTTCCATGAAGGTCAGGTAGCGGTCGACCCAGACCTTTCTCTCCGGCTCGCTCCCCAGCTCATACACCTTGGTGATCTTTTCTCCAGTGGTGGTGGATGAGCTGGACTTCTAGGGCCCGGAGGGGCATTTGGAGGCGGGGCATGGGTGGACAGAGGGAAAGGGAAGAAGGTGAGAAGAAAGTAATGAGCTACCAAGTCCAAAAAGAGGAGAAATTTAAAAACTACTGCTATCACACAACAATTAGGAATGAAGGCTACTAGTTCAGGCACAAACTATACATTTCTTAATTAAGAATTTACTTTGACTTTAAATAAAGGCCCAAACTCCCTCTTTTATATACTTAAAAAACAAAACCAAAACCCCAAATCTTTTTCACTTTATTGCTATAAGCGTTGAATCCCAGAAGGCAAGGTTCCAATGACGACTCACGTCATGTTTAAAAATAAAAGGTGTTAGCTCATAAAAGGATCATAGTGAACTTAAAATTTCACGTGTGGTATTTATTACAGAGCCCAAAGACCTCTATGGACCCCACTTTTCCTTGTCAAAATAAGAATGGCTACTGTGGGTCTTCACTGGAACTCTACATCGTATGGAGGAAGGGCAAGCAAACGCATGGTACTTGCTGAAAAATCAGAGGCAGGTCACACATCACAGGAACCAGTGGTGTGGGCCCTACGCTCATTTGAGAGCTTTGTAAGCTGATGGCCAGCTAACTCATGATGACCGGCTTTCCCTACTTAAGAGGTCTTGAGCTTCTCTGCCATGGTCAGGGGCATTAGATAATTATTTTACTAGATTTCTTAGGCAGCTATGCTTTAATCACGAACACGTGCTATTTCCTACTCCCATCTGTACCGATGGATAACTATATACATTTATTCTTAGGCACACGTGTTTATGGGTCCATGTGGTTTATACTGATGCTCTAATTCTCGGTCTTCTATTTTTCTAACTCTAGTTGATACTAAAGTGTCAAAAGTTGCTTTCCCTGCACATTTGAAGCCCACCATCTGGATTATGTGATCTAGGAAGGGAACACTTTTAGTCCTGAACAGCCCAACTGTATATTTTCCCTTTCTTTTATGTCTCTGTATTTGCAGCAATATTTGTGTACCTGTAATATCTGCAACTCTGGGGTTATTGTACAAAATTACTTTTACATTCCCCATAAAATGTCCTTGGAACAGGAATTTACTTCACTTACTCACGTTTACTTACTAGGTTGTCATTTGCAACGTTTAGCCTTTATTTGAGATGGAGTTTTTCTTAACTCTTTTCCATTATGTGTAGCTTACTGTAATTTTAAACATATTGATGAAATTCTGGGGGTTAAACATGATTGCCACCGAGGTTTGATGCTACCTTATTTAGCAAGATCTTGATCCCCAATAAAAGCAGGGCCTGAGAAAGGGGGCCTGAGAACGAGACCAAAGGAGCCGGAGAAGGGCAGCTTTCCCTCTAATTAACGTGGAATTCCCCCACGCTATTTTCACTGGAATTTTAAGCCTTCAGCTTCAGAATTATTCAGGCATAAAATCTTTACATCAAATCTATAAAAATGGATGATGCAGTTGATGTAAATAAAAAAATGTAGAGTTGTAGGATAAAAAATAGTGTGATCTTTTAGAATAAGTTTTTACCATTTATTTCCCTATTCTTATAACCAAGGAATATTTGACTAGGACAAGAAATGGTTCTAACACATTTTATGCCACGTTCTCCTACTGATAATATTTCAGGAGCTTTGTCATCATTAATAGGGTGCTTATTACTAGGAGGTTTCGAAATGCTAGTATTAAAAATTTTTGTTTTGGGGTAGCTACTCTAAAAAAAAAAACCAAAAACAATGGATCCAATGTTTTAAAAAAATGAAAATTTGAAATAAGGACAGCTTCCACAAGGCAGGGTTCCTGCTGGGAACACCAGCAGTGGGTGCACGCTGAGGGTACTCAAGGTACTTGGTAGGCAGATACTTGTTTTATGAACAAATACTCAAATGGACTGAAAAAGGTCTGAGAAGTCTAGCACCGTCCAAATAAGAATTAACAGCTGATTAAAATATCATGTAAAAAGGGTTTCCGTGAGGGAGGTGCTCAGTGAATGTGGACACTATCCAATAAGACTGAAAGCTGTGGGGGATCGTGCCCATGGCTGGCATGTAACATCTCCGCTCCTGGTCTGCTTCCTAGCCAATCACCAGTTAGTATGTGGGTGTCTGAACAGAGAAAAAGGACATGAAGAGAAACAACAGCCTTAGGAAATAAAGAGTACAGATTATCACTGATCAGGCTCAACATAGGCCTCTTTTGTTCAGGCATTAGCTATGATGTGACCTCTGGATAAAAGTCGCACACACTACCCACTGACTAAGGGCAACCTAACTAGCCCTGCACAAAGATGGGTCTCTAGGACCATCCGTATTGTTTCCGTGCTGTGGAAACTGTACCCACTGCATGAAACTGTTGTGGAGGCAAGAAAAATAAATGGAGATTGCTGAAAAATTATAGCGAGACATTATTATAGTGCCACAAATGTCTTCCTTGCATGTAATTTAATTAAGTCTATAAGTACATTTTCCTCAAGTCTTTTAGGCAGATTTACATTTCAGCAGTCTTTACCATATGCCTGGTAATATGTGTATGTGCAAATGTTTATTTTTATTTTAGAATGTTTTGTAACAACACAGTGTTGGTCCACAGCACACTGTCAAAGCAAAGAACATCTTTATTATTTCGTTCATTTCAGGCCTGCTCTTAGGCAGGCTTTGTTAGGGAGACTGTGAAGAGCAATTTTAAGTACAAACTGACGTTCTATCTTGGAAAAAGCAGTTAAATATTCCTAAACTGTATATATCTGCAGTGATTTGATAGCAGAGATAATCTGCAGTCCCTCATTACAATCTCCTTTGGTTCCTGTCTTGAATTAGCATCTCATTCAAGACAATGGCTGTTTTCTCATTATAGAGCCATTACTAAGGTCTTCCACTACCTGGAACCACGGCCTCTCCTGTCCTTACCTACCACTGGAGCCAGAGTTTGCTTGTAAATTCTTACAATGGTTACAGTACAGGAAGAGATAATGTATGTAGAAGTATTTAGGAAAAAGAGAAAAGTTACATGCAATTTTTAAAAGTACAATTGTATAATAATAAGAAAATGAAGTTAATTCAGTTTGCTTTATTTCTTATATTTAAGTGGAAACTGGGGCTTATGCAACTAGTAAGTTAAAATACAATAAAGATTCATTCTTCATAATTCAGAAGTCAGCAGGGTGGAATTTTTAAACATAATATAGTCTATTAGTAGTTTTTGTTCTTAATAAATGATCAGTCTTAATATATCTTAAAATTTTAAAGGTTTTCAACCTCTAAAATTTTTCCCCGAGCCAACATACAAATGTTTTTGAAAAGTTATAATTTGAGTTCTACCTGTTAACTTGAGAGTATTACTGATTCAAAAATGTTTTTCTTACGATTAAAATAAAACCAAACCAAACCAGGGTGCATTATGGGGAAACTGCCACAATGCTGGCTGCCTTCTGAGACTCAAAGCAAACAACACAAAGATATCAGAATTAAGGAGCTACATTCTCCCTTCCCATTAGTGCTGCTTAACCCATCCTAGAAGCATTTTTCATTTCATCTGGGTTTGTTTCAAAAGCAAAACATGTGTCTACAGAGAAGGTACCAGCGAATATCTGCCCTTTCTTCCTCTAAAAAGGAAAATGCTGGTTAGACTAGAGCTCCACATGAATTTTACAAACATTTACTGGAACACCGACTCTGCAAACTGTCTGCTTAAAGCGGTGAATGGATAATTAATAGCAGCCTCCTTTTGGGGTTTTGACTAGATTGCCAGACTCTGCACTCAGAGTCTTCTTCTCTCCAACTTCCTTTCCTGAGCCATGCTCTCCAACGCATCGTCTTACAAAAATTAGCGTGTTAATTAAGTCTTCTTGGCAAGTAATTGCATGTTAAGGATTTTTTTCTTCAAAAGATCTTTTGATTCCCTATATGAATGTAAAATAAAGGTTGCTACAGTGCCGTTCTTTTTGCAATGGCACAGAATTAATTTCTTGAGTAGGAAAATAAAGGCTCTACAGGCAAAAGAACACAAAGGCTAAAATAATTCTCTTATATATACATTATCATTTTTGTTTGTTATGTCATATGGAAAGCAACACTTAATTTCAAGATTATCAGCAGTCTTGTGCAGGATGGACTTTTCATCTCAACTGATTCTACTGCAGGCACACATTATTCATCTAAAAACAGCATTCCAAGTAGTTATAGGCACTAGCATTTCCAAACTTTTTCTGTTAATTTCTGACAAGTGGATTGAAACAAAGCAGGGTTGATATTATGCTAACCCGTGCCCAGAGTGTAATATTTATATTTTCAGGTAGGCAGTTTTGAAATAAGATGTTTCAGATAAAACAGTCCATGAAAGATTTAGGCCAGAGGCCAAACTTGTCATTTACTCTGTGGCTGCTATTAGTTCCCATGTAAATGGAGAAGTAACTTGTTTTAAATTTCTTAAGTGCACAATGGATTAGACATTTAAACGAAGTCACTGTGTGAAGGAGTTTGGACCCAGTAACACAATCGCATGCTTGGTACAGAGGTGCTTCTTTATATAGCGGTTTCATTACTAGAAATCAACTTCTATGATGCACATAAACGTTACTTATTTTGTTACTAATATAATTATAAAGAAATCCCTTTCATGGATAAATTACTGAAGAAAAAGTCTTATAAAACAAATAAATAAGCAAGCATTAACGTAGAATTAATTATCAAAAAACCCCAAAAAACAAAAAAAAACAAAAAACCAGAGCCACTTACAGGGCTTGATGGAGTCTTTGGCCAGCCTGGGCTGCTAATGCTATCACTTTCATCTCCATGAAATGAGGAGATGCTAGCAGAGCTGGGGGACATTGGGGAGGGGACTGGCAGGTTGCCGGGGGTTGGGGGCTGAGAAATACCCTGAGAGCTGTAGCTATCCTGTGGTAGAGGAATAAAAAAAAAAAAATGACAACGGTAGGGCAAACTTTATTTAAAATAACAAAAAGTACATCCAGTTTAACAGACTAGCTTTTATATATAATAGATATATATATATATAAAGACATGTACAAACAAACACACAAACACACACACATATAAAGGTATTAAAACAACATTCTTAATTAGTAGAATTTGGTAAGTTTGCTGGATGCTGGATACGGCCACTAAGCCACCATGCTTACTTCAAGCTTACATGGAATGCTAAGCATGGGTTACCCCTTATGAAAGAAAGAAAGAAAAAAAAAAAAAAAGCTGTTCACCTTATTTATCAAATAAGGCAGGAAAGCAAAATATTAAGTATGTTGTTGTTGCTGAGGCGGCCAAAACAGGAAGCTATAAACTGAAGGCAGAGAAAATGGCTGCAAGTATCAAACCCAGGCAAGACCCCTTACTTCTCCCCACCCCCAAAGCATTTCTCTTGGGTGGGTCTTGTCCCTCCACCCCTCTCCCACGACCATGAGTTAATGCCATCAGAACTAGTAACTTTCAGATCCACACCATGAGGGGGGTGGGGAAAGAAAGAAAGACTACAAACATGTGGCACAAAATGAAGGCATGCAGAGAGAAGAAACCAAATGGAAAAAAAAAGTGTCGGCCAACACCAGTGAATAGAGAACAACATGGCAGCTTTAGCAAGGCAGGCCCCACACTGCGTGCAGAGGAGAAAGGAAATACCTTCGCCTTGCTCTCAGGCTGTGCAGTTCCTTCTTCTTTACTGTCTGCTTTGAGAGGCAGGGGCAATTTGGATTCACCAGGAGACATCATATCTGCAAGACCCATAGATGCTAATCGAAAACAGGAGAAAGAGTTTAGGATTATACATGTGATTCGTCAGCCTGTGCTCCTGTGAACACAAGTTACTGGGTGATGCACGGGGCACTTGAAGGAAGAAAAGAAAAAAGAAACTGTAACTCAGCACACTGATTTCTGAAATCTAAACAGCATGACATTCAGGCAATCCTTCTTTATCTTTAAAACAAATACAAAACCCAGGAATCATTGACTCAAGACCCAAACCATGAAAGTCAACGTATAGCAGTTATATATGTAGTAAGCAGTTATAATATAGCGAGTGACAAGTGGACAGAAGTCCAATGTTTAATTTGCTCATCAGGTGTTGAATATAAATGCTGGATGTGTAGTGTATATTTGTTACCTGCTGACTAGAGGATTTAGTGCTTTCTTCATTTCCTAAATGCACGTAACCTATAGTTTGCAAAATCATTTGATATTTTATAGTTTCATTTGAAAATCTTATCTACTGCAATGTGGCCTAGTCTATACTAATGGAAGACAATCATAACACATGACTTCAAAAACAATAATCAAAAGTAAGTTTTGAAGGAAAAGATTTCTAATCATTTTGCAATGGGGCTGGTTTCCTTCTGGCCTGGTGCATTGCATATGGTTATCAGTTCTCACCCGCAGCTCAAATGCCCAGGTCAGGTCCCCACACCAGCTCAAGGGTCAACCTGACAATCCCAGGCAAAACTCACTTTCTATCTCCAGGCTCGGAAACTTGATCAAGTTCATCTAAGGTTCAGAATGAAAAGTTCCCCAAGGAACAACTGACTTAGACACACTGATTGCAAATACTAATAGACATTTTCAAGTTAAAAACACGGGTTTAGATTTCTTTTTAAAGGAAGAGCAAGAATACAGTAGGGACTCAGTGTAGCTATCCGGGGAATAACAGCTGAATGCCTACAGAGCCCCACTGTGAAAATCACATGCACAACACTGGGCTGTGAGCGGGACACGAACAGACATGTGAGGAGTTGGCGTGAGGAGGGACGGCAGTAGAAAAGGAAGAGGGGAGAGAATTACGAGCCTTATAAATGAGTGGAAACCAGAAAACATTCCTACTTCAAAAATCAAATAAACCCGAGGTCTTATGAACGGGACCCAGTTTACATCTGCCAATGAAAGTGCGGACCTAACCGAGTGGCTGGGATACACGGGGCACAAATGTGCCAGAAAAAAAGAGGAGCTTCAGAAAAGGCCCCACAGATTGCCCACTACAAAATGATTATTGCTCATATTCATGTATTACTATGTTTTAGAAAATAATTAGTTTTAATTACAGCAGTGAGAGTGTGAGCAAGGCTCTGGCGCATTTGCTGGCAAGCTTCGTGGTGCTAATTTGCTAATATCGTTAGCATCGCTGCAGGTTGAGACCAGAGGTCCTGCCAAGACAGCCCACCCTGCCACGTGCCCATGAGTGTACATCGGCACACTCAATGGCGCGCTCTGAAACGCTGCATTTTCCACGGCCACAGTGGCTTGTTTTCAAAGCCCATTTGCAGCCCAGTCAGCCCTTGAAGTCATTACCACACACACAAATCATAATTGGGATGTTTTTCTTTTTTTTCAAATTACTTTCAATACTTAGACTTTAAGAACTGGAACAAAAAGCTTTTTCAAGTGATGCAGCTGCACAGAGAAATCTATTGGGATCAGCTAAAAATGCTGTTATTTTTGTGAATGTGTGAAACCTCAGAAAAGCAGCTGAGAGAGATTACACGAAGAAGACTGCCTTGTTGCTTTCGTGTGGTTTTATCTCTGGGGTCTAGCGAGATATGAATTGGTAAAGCTGTATGTTAAGAAAGACCCTTTTTAGAAGAATAGAAGGGAAAAACGCAGGACAAGCGTGGAAAGGGGGGTTTATTGATGAAAGTGCACACGTCCTCGCTCGTTATTCAGAGTGGGTTCACAGGAACGACAGCCACACAATTCCAGAGAAAAGGGCAAGGTCACGGACACGTGGCTTCGGTTAAGTCCTGTTTCTCCGAAGGTTACAACAAATAGTTTTGTCAGTAGGTATAAATTATGCTTAAATATTATTTTTGAAAAAAAAAAAGCAATATCCTTCTTCATGCATTAAATGTGTTAATATACACAAAAGCAATTTGTTAATGTACACAAAAGCAATTTTTAAGCATAAAGAACTAGGTCAATATGTGTTATGATAATTAATGATGATAATTTACACTGATTTAAAAATTAGACTTAGACGAATATAAGCATATGTGTTGGTTTGAAATCCGCCAAACTTCTTCATTCTGTATTATATATTTTAAAGTGAGCATTTGGGTTATGCAAATACAAAAACTGTCAAAAGTTGCATTGCTTTATTATTTTGAGAGATAAATATGAACAGGATTTAGAGTAATAGTTTTTCTTAGTACTCCTACCTTACAATGTAAATTTTATTTTACTAAACGGATCATAAGGGCTTTCTTTACTGCGGCTTTTACTATCCCTTTGGTTGAAATGCTTATTTTTGGCTTCGCAGCAGAATTCTCAAGGAACCACTGCAGAGAGCCACATGCCTCCCACGGCAGTGACACTCCAGGGGCGCTATTTTGTTCTCCTTTCAGAAGGGAAAGACCGCAACTTTCATAAGGACGTGTTAAAACCAAGGCACCATTCTTTCTCCTACTGACATCAGGAATCAGCGTGTAAAGTTCAGACAGAAAAGGGGCAGTAATGACTCTGTGGAGGGTGGGGGTTACTGTAAATACCCCACAAGCACTGGCCTCTGGCTTCACTATGGAAATTTAAGAGCTAGAATGATTTCTTAAAGTAAGTGTGGGTCAAGGTCCTACGGCAGCTATTTCACTGTGGATTTAATATTTTTCCAAAAGAACATAAAGAACATATGGCGCGAGTAAAACTGAACTGAAACATCCATTCCTGCTCTCCCAACTTCCTTTACTTCGTCTCCTTACAAGGCTGCAGAATCATTCCCGGAAGATGGTAAAACAAGACCAGAAAAGCACACACAGTACTTTTCTTTTCACGGTAAATAATATACCATACTCTGCAAAATATTTTATTCCTTGTTTCTGAAAACACAAAAGGGCCTGTCTCTGGGTATACATCTGTAGATATTCATGGCTATTTTTATATGAGGCAAATATATAAAGGACACTGGTTAACATAACATATACAAGGTAATGAGAAAAGCTCAGGAGAAACACTTCTCTCTGCTTAGAGCAGCAGGGCTTTGAAACAACCCCAGAAAGCTCCCTATGCTGACTCACCTCCAGGGGGGCAGTGCAAGTGAGGGGCACGACCCCATCATCCCATCACAGCCCCTCCCCACTCAGCCGTCCCCAGGACACGCACAACCTGAGCAGAACCAGCATGTTTGCAGAGCATCACTGCTGCTCTCTCCTGCGAGCTGGACCGATGCTCCCAAGAAAGCCCAGCTACTTACGCAGCTACCAATATACTTGGCATAACTCAGAGTACATTTTCCTGTTTAAGAGAGACGGTTTTCAGTTTATCAATCCAATTTTTTGTATTTTTTGTGGGGGTTGGGCAGCAACTCACCTAAAATCATTAACTTAAAACGATCAAACAAAAAAGCCAATGATATTTATAAGCTACCTAGACAACCACTAGCAGTGTGCTCAAGATCCCAAATTGCCTTTGTGAAGGATCCTAAAATCTCAAGACAGAAAACCGCTTTCCATCTGGCAGAGTTATATTCTATGTATAGTTTTGTAACTTTTTTTTTTTTAAATTTCAAAACAGCAAATTATCTGGTAAATGGCTAATGCCACACAAAGCTGGCAGCAGTTCTGCCGGGAGGCTGCTGAGCCAGATGCCTCTACACTGGTGCCCCTCAAGCATCGGTCTGCACCTAAGAATCGCCTCAGGAGTCTGTCAGCAACGCCGATTCTCGGGGCACCTCCCTCATCACAACTCTGGGGGGCAGTCCCAGGCATCTGTAGCTTTGATAAGCATTCCAGGCAACGCTGACTGCGGACTCTGAAGGAAGCCGTTGACACCGTGGCACTGACCAACACTGTGGGACCGAGCAGCGCTGGGCTGAATCTAACAGCGCTCTGTGTGCAGGAGGCCTGGCCACGGCGGCCTCGGGCTGCTCCCTTCCTGCCTGTAGGTTATGCTGATGGAAATGCCCCCCACACCACGCTCCCAGTGAGGCGAACAGCGCTGCACGGTAGGCATGCTTTCTGAGATCAGAGGTCTTCTTTAAGATGGTTTATGCTCAGACTAATGAATATTATAAAGCAAAACATAAATAAGTACTATGTAACTAACAACACAAGTATTACATGGGGTATATTTGACAAGGTTATACAGGACTTATAATTTTGCCCATAGTAATACATAATTCCAATCTTTTAATCCAAATAATTTTTTTAAAAAGCTCCTTTAAAAGAAAAAAAAAACATCTCCACAGCCTACCATCCCACTTCCCTAGCATTTTCAGTGAAGAAACAGTTGTCACATTCATACTCACACTGACTCCATTTAAATCATTACTTGCTCGCTGAAGCTTGCAGCGATTTGTCACTACACAGGAGGACGGTTTCTGGCCCTGTACACTGTCTACAGCACGACTGTTCGAACTCAGCAAAGAGGATGCTGGATGCCCGCTGCATCAGCTGCTAAGTGAGGTTCAGAAAATCCCACCGCCAGACCGCCCATTGTTCGTATTATCTTCACTTTTCCCAAATGTGTCCTTGGATGGAGAAATGCTTTGCTGTCATCACTGGGAATTTATCTCCATGGGACCAAACCATGGAGACTGACGTGGTGATGAGCCAAGCCATTTCTGCCCATCCCTAGAAAAGCTAAGCGGACACCTTCAGCCCCACACCCTCATTAGGAGCTCGCTGTGGGATTCTGGGTTGCTCTGTCACTCCCGGTTCCCTCAGAGACCACGCCGGCATTGGCAGAGGCACGTGTGCCCATCAGTAGATACACAGTGAATGCTAAGTCGTCAATATTCCTCGGATGTGCTGCATGATTACTTTCTATCAGGTAGCATTTGACTTAATAAAGCTGAAATAAAATCATATAAATGTGCAGAAAAAATTTTGATAAATGTTTAAATTATTAAAAATTCAATATTTCAAAATGCACAATGCCATAAAAAATATACTACTAGCCTGTACAAAAGACTGTGAGGATAAATGGCCTTTCATTGAAAAGATTTCCCCGGTATGAAATAACAAATAGCTGAATTATCTGAATAATAATAATAAAAAAAACCCCCTCTCTGTGAATCTCCATTAAATTGGTTATTTCTTAGGGACACATAAATCTCCTTAGGCAGGGCATGGTGCCATCTATTTGTTGTGGGTTATTTTTGTGGCTCTGGAGTCCAAAGGAAAAAGGGAAAAATGAGTATTGCTAATAGTAGGTGAAAATTTATTGTGTCGTTTCAATGCTCTGAAGTAATTTCATTTCAGCAAGCCAGACGAAACACATAATGTCATAACCCAAACACGCTATTACCTGGGACAGTGCTGGGAAGGGAGGGGAAGCTTCCAGCTAACAGACTGTCCGAGAGCTTGTCACTATTCACTGCAAATGTGAAAACACCCGCCTCCCTGGGTGAATGACCACCTGCTTAACATCAGGAAGGGCTATTATTTATTTAAAAACTTTCATTTTCACCAATAGTTTCTAGTTTTAAGTCTTCCACAAACTTTTAAAGAGAAGTAATCAGGGAAGGCACTATTAAATTAGACGCTAGAAACCAGTGACTCAGAAGCTCAGACAGGATGCAAGCCCTGCCTCTAGCTGTCTGTTCTGTCTGACAAACAATAGCCTTGAGGCGGCCTTTGGAAGATGGAGAGGTTAGGAAGGCAGAGAAAAGCAGAGGGAACAAAAAAAAGTAAAAAGGGAACGCCAAGCCTCTAACTCCACCATGTTTTTCTAACACATTATAAAGCATCGCAGGACACCCATAAAGGTACGCATAGCTCTGTATTGAGTCAAGGAGAGACTGCTACCCCAAAGTGGCATCTATCACTCTAATAGGGGAGAAAAAGCAACAGGTCAGTTGCATTACTGACCTTTATATAAAAAAGAATTTACATGAAGTGTAACGGAACCCTCAAGTCATTAAACAGTTAGACTGAGCAGGTTTCCAAGAAGCAGAAAAGCAGTATTTCCTCTTTTCACCAAATGGTCCAATTGCTTGCCTTGTTTTTGTACATTCAGCGCTGCTCGCCTAAGAGAAGAGGGGAGAGGCGGGGCCGCCCTCAAAGCCCCCAGCCGCCAAGGTTACCTGCGGAGCTGTTCACCATGTTGGGTGTCATGCTGTAGGGCGGCGTCGGGGTGTTCATCAGCCCGGAGCTGTTGTTCATGGGCTGGCTGTAGGGAGAGCTGGAGGCCAGAAGTCCACTCTGATTCATGCCCGGGAAGCTGCCTTGCCTGTATGGAGAGAAAGCACACACATACGGACACTGACCACGCACATTACAGTTTGAGCTGGGAGTCATTTCTCACAACGCATTTAAGGCAAGGGGTGGGGCTAGTATTTCTCATGTTTTCCTTAAAATAATTTCTTTCCTGGAGAGAGAGGCTGAACTCTTATTGCTAGGTAATTACTTAATATACTTGTACTATGTAAAAATTCCAGATAATATAAATTCCACATATAAATTACATGTTTTAAAGCATGTCAAGTGTTCCAGGTTATGATTTATATAGAGGAATACAAGCGAGAAAGGGAGAACGTGAAATAAGAACAGGAATTACAAAAGCAAGCAAAATTAATTTCTGATGTTTAAAAAGATCTGACTCTATTAAACATTTAGTATCCTCACATCAAAAAAACAGAAGTCAAGAAATGAAAAACAAATACGCAGTGTGGGAATGTTACTTAAAACAAAAAAATTCTTTGACTTAAATTTTCTGATATAATGAATATGGGAGAAAGCATTCCCCAAATCCTATTATTTCCCCTTCTGAAATTAGGTGCTATTAAAAACAAACCAATTTCCCTATATTAAAATTACACAGTAAACATTAGGCTTCCGCCTCTCGTTGAAGGATTTCCCCTGTGACAGGAAGGAAGAGGGTCTAGACTGGCTATAAGTACCCCTAAGAATCCTGTCCTAACAGGCTCACCCCCTCCCCACTGCCTTCCCGACTACCATACAGACTCATGAACTTAACTTTTTGGTGACTTCCTTTGGTTCATTTTGTGTCTACACAGAGAGACAAACCTAGTCACTCTTGCAAAGCAGCAAAGGGCATTCTTTGATTTGAAAGAGACAACTGTCACACAATGTCATTTCTCTAGCTACAGGTGATGAAGTGGGGGGAGGGGAGGATTTAAACAGCAAGGTGGTTTAATTCTCCCAGGAAAATTACAGCAAAGAAAGATGGTGGCAGTGAGGTGAAATCTTGAAAAGACTCCACATTGTAGTCAAGCTTTGCTTATGTAAATAGCATGCAGTACCATTAAAAACTTTTCAAAGTCTTGGCCACTAATGTTTACTCTTAAGAGTAAAGCTAACGGGAAGGGTAAAAATCCAGCCACTTTGTTTATCTGTCCAAATTAATTATGATTACAACCCCCTCCACCTCCATTAAATTCTCATTTGGTGGCTCTTAATGTATAATAACGAAACATTTTAAAGAGATTCTTTAAAAGATTAACATAAGTTATTTTAAAAAATCATATATACTATTCTTTTTGTGTAGGTAGTTTCAGTGGATTCAACTTCTTGCTTGTAGAAAAAGTTCAAACGTGGTCTGTTTGAAAATTCAAAGTGTCAAAAGTTTGAGTGTTTTTCTTTTAAATATTACACAAACCATTCAGGGAAATTCTGTACAAACGAACACTTGATGATGGCTTGGAAAGAACATTCTAGAAGGCTGAAAGACTAATGGTATGAGTGTGGCTCTGGGAGAAAGGAGTGCAGTTCAGCCTTGAATGCTCTGCTCACTGTGATTCCACTTTGAATAACGCCAGACTGCTGAATCAGCTGTAATACCCATTGCAACTCATTAAGGATGGATCTGAGATCATTCAATGGCTTCCGATTAACCTCAGGTCATCACATCCTTATAAATACATTGCCCAGCAGCTGTACACACATTCCTGTACGGTTAGGGTCGTAACATCAGCCTGTGGATAGCTGGCATTACCTCAGACATCTCAGGTTTGTTCTGAGATATTTTCACTCAAACGAAAGACTATTTAGTAGCATTTATGCAACTGTTTGAAAAGGGAACAAGTGGCAGCTGTTGGAACGACTCTCTCAATTTCTTAGATAAACCACAGGAAGAGCCTCCTTAACGTATGAACAGGCTGCATTTTCTGGAGGCTACTTCCAAGGTCTCCATTACTTCCAAATCTCTGCCAACTCTGACCTGTCCTTCAGGGTTCTCCATGAAACCTGTCCCCATGCTCCACCTGGGAGCTCTGCCGTCTGCAGGCTCTGCTTCTACAGCACTCTGCACTTTCTTTTGTGAACGGAAACCATTTCTAGGTTGTGCGTGTATGCCTCCTGAGAGGAGCAATTGAGCACATGACAGCGACCACAAAACAGGTTTTCAAAGAATTGATAGAGGACATTTTTATCACTGTAAATAGGAATTATGAAAGATGGCCACTTTTTCAAGCTTCCACCAAATTCGGTTTTACACGCACTGTAACTAACATGTATATGAAATTAACAGTTCTGGAAGTACAGTTGTTTCCAACTAAGGTGGAAAAGAGAATCAGAATATAAAATCTACCAGGCAGATAGATAGATGAAGTAACCTCAGAGGCCCCATCTAACCCTCATCGATGACTTCTCCCCCAAGTGTGCACTGTCCATCTCCAATCACCATAACACGTTTATGGTGCACCTTTAACACGTTTTTAAAAATACCCTTAAAATATCAAAATACATAAAGGATTAAAGATTGCATGTTGGATGTCCGCTGCTGGTTACAATGGTCCTCAATTAAACCGCACCTATAGTTTTCAAGAGTCTGGTTAAAAAGCGAGGGGTCTTGGCTCTGTCGCTACCCCCACTTGGATCTGGGAGCAAATCATGCTGGCTTTCTGTGCCTCTGTTTTTATATACAAACATGGAGAGACTGTTAATAATTTTAACATTAACACTTTATGAAGTACCTACAGCTTGGCACGATTTCTAGGCACTTTACACGTTTAATTTTCTAAATTCCTGGAGGAGGGTGGGTGGAATTATGCTCATGTACAGAAAAAGAAAATAAAGGTCAGAGAGATGAAATAACTTGCCTAAAGACATACAGCTAATAAGTGGCAGACACAGAATTCCGCACCCTGCTTTCAGTCCAGTGTCCTGTGTTTTTTCCTCCGAGGGCCCTCTAACACTGCTAACGCTTGATGAGACAAAGTATAATGGCATACAGCAGCTACCGTATACCTTTCCATTTGTCTACTGGACTCATCTTTGGTGGGAGAAAGCTGACAGATCAGAATGGCGCTTTTCTCTGGGCCTCCTGGAGGGCACCCTTCGGCGAGGTGGACTCAGTGAGAGGTGGTGGAAGTAAATAAAATAGTGCCCTGGGCACCTGCTTCCAGGAAGGAGTGTATCCTGTGTGTTGCAGGCCTCTGGGGGATCCACGTAAGGAAATGAGTCCTCCCAGGAATGCAGGGCCTGTGTGGCCATGAGCACAGCCCTTGGCCACCTAGCTAAAGGGGGACAGAGCCAGTCTTCCATCACTGCAGAAAAAATCCTATTCACTATTGCTTTGGAAACTGCTGCCAAGATTATTGGTAATTTTGAACAAGCAAGATAGGCTTAATGCTAAACAAGAGTTTTCAATGCATGCTGTTGAATTTCGGAAATCGAGGCAATTCGCATTGTGGAAGGAGATGTGAGACGGCCGCCTGTGATTAAACCAAGCACTCCCACTTAGCACGGTGCAGCTAATGCAAAAGGATTTCTGTGGCTCACGACAGAAAGCTCACTGGGTTGGCCTGACTACCATTACAGGGACCACAGCAACCTCGGAAGTCCGTGCTGTCCCAGAGGCAGCACTCACCGACTGCTAAACCCCTCTCTGACCACAGTGACATTCGAAGACTCCAAATGGAACTTGGAGAGACAAGAAGTCAATCGCTAGACATTTTCTTTTTTCAAAAGGAAACAAGTGCAGGCAGAACAGAACAAAACACCACCAGGCAAAAATACAAACGGAAATGAGGGAAACATTTTCAATATAAATAAGACCCTACCAAAAGGGAAGCGGTACCTGGACGAGTGACCTGGATGAGTGACGTGCCCTACCTTGACCTCTGGGTGACTCACTAGGGGTTTCTAGTGGATCTATGGGCTGAGGTCATTTTTATTACAAATTATTGCTGTCCCAGTGCCACAGATTCCTAAACTGCAATGGCTGTGGCCATGAATGCCCCAGAGCGTCCCGAGAGGGAATTCGATGGACGTTGAAAAGGTGCGTTTGGTTGTGGCTATGAGGCTAAGGCAGCTCCTGTGCGCCCTATGGAAATGGCTGTGGTAGGCGGTGCCCCCGATCACCGCGAGCTGACCAGTGGGCCTGTGCTTACTGGGGCCAGGCCCACATACAGCCAGGCGCCATTCCCTCATGTCAAAGCAAGACGTGGGGGGTTGTCATTTAAACACGCGGAGCTGCAGAATAACCAGAGAACGGTATTTAAATCAGTCTTCGGTGGGGACTAGATGTACGTGTTGAAGACCTGTCATTCAATGACAAAACCCACGCTATTATAATAAAACAAGAGTAACTCAGAAGTGGGGCTGCGCATGCATTTCCCTCAAGCGATCCTGGCCCCGTGTTTCAGTCTCCATAAACACACCACACACAAGGAATTTTTATAGGTTTTCCTTTAGTCAGTTTGGAAATTTCTTTAACATCACACACTCATCTGCCAACAAAGGGCTGGCTTGGGGGAAAAAACCAGAAGCAAAAACCAATTTGAAAGCGATCATTTCCAGTGCTCCACTGTGAAGGCAGAAAGTGGAATACATCGTCCCACTACACTGTGAATTTAGCAGTTCAAATGTTAGTATGAAATCCATTTCTAAATATCTTGTTTTCAAGTCAATTGCAATAAAATGTAAAATAGTCTGTCCATGATTGTGGTACTTTAAAAGAATATTTAGGCCATATGGTTTTAGCAATGCCGCCATTTTTTATCAACAGTGATAGACAGGGAATGTGAAATACGCATTTTGAAAATGAATGGGTTTCTGATACAGCTCTTTGGAGAAGAGGACAGACAGACAGAAGAAATACTTTGGAAATACACGCCACGTGAGTGAAGCCTCTGGTGTAAGTTCCAGGGGCAGAGACACACGGGGAGAAGCTCCGCTCTGACGAGCGCTAGCATGACCACTGGAAATGTCATCTGTACGTTCAAAAGGAACATAAAAACGTGTGCTTTATTCGTGAACTGTGTATGA